ATATGCCAAAATCACAAACAAATATAGGTAGTGCTTGCTCGTGACATCTGGGGGTCTGTGATTGGCGTTCTCGCCTCACTCCGTGCCGCACGGACACCGGTCCTGGCCGCGCCAGCGCTGGGCCCAGGATTGACGCGCAGCCATTTTTTCCGATACGTCCTTGTTGGTCTCAAAATATGTCCGATGCTCCTTGGGTCCTTCCATGGGTCTGCCCTTGGCGTTCTTTACTGAGGCCCCAAAATTGCTTCGTTCCTTACCCAAGGCTCCTCGTGGCAACACTTTGGCAGTACCTCTACTGCTTCCTGGACGCGCCGCGCATGCATTGATCCTGGGCCAGGCCGCGGAGGTCCTGGGAGGCCCCGAAGGTCAGAGGTCTCTGCGGTTCCCCCGAGGCCTCGGGGTCTCCTGGTGCCGACGACGGCGGCGGCGACGACGACGACGACGACGACGACGCCGAGGTCTGCGGCGCGCCGGCACGCGCCGGCGCTGGGCAACGCGACTGGCAGCGCCGGTCTCTGGTCCCGGCGCGGCCTGCTCGGCGCCTCGTGCGCCAGGAGAGGGCGCTGTGCTTTGGCCTGCCGGAGGCCTTCGTCGGCGCCGCGTCGGCGGCCCTGCGCGGAGGCCTTCCCGCAGAGGCCTCTTGCGGAGGCCTTCGGGGGCCGTCGGGGGCCTTCGGACATGTTTCAGGACGCCTTTCGGAGGTGCGGCTGAAAGGGCTGGGAGGTGCGCGTGCGCGAGGAAGAGGCTCTGCGGAGGGGCGGCTGAGGAAGACGAGAGAGGGGAGGGGGAGAGAAGGGGCGCAGAGGGTCAGGGGAAGGTTTTTGATGCTTTCTGGGGCGTCCTGGAGAAATCAGGGGGTCTGCTGGCGCGCGCCATCTTCCTCCGCCTTCTCCTCGTCGTCGTCTTCATTTTCGTTTCTTGAGATTTTGCGCCCTGCTTTTATTTTCACCCAATTCGGTTTTGCCTTAGGGGTTCTGAGTTTGTTTTGTGAAGCAACCAGTGGGTGTGGCGCACGGTCGTGCCGGGGTTCCCTGGTTTTGCTTCTTTTGCAACGGTTTTCTTTATCTTGTTTCCTTCTAATGCTTTGCCCGGTTTCCTTGGCCTCGCGTTCCTCGGGATTCCCTGGATTCCCCAGGTTTCGGGGTCATTTGGTCTTGCTCCTTCACTGCTTTTGAAAGGCCCTCCTTCCTCGGGTTCTCCAGGTTTCCAGGTCTCCCAGGTTCCTTGGTCTTGTGTCCTTAACTACTGTGTTGGAAAGGCTGGCATTCTTCGGGTTGCCCAGGTCCCGTGGTCTTGTTTCCGTTCTGTTTTTGAAGCGATGCCAGCCAACGCCAAGCGTTGCCAAGCAATGCAAATCAATTTCTTTCACTGCCAAGCACGGCAAAGAGTGCCGAGCAGTGCAAAACGTAGTTATCAACTAATGCCAACCGACGCCAAGCAATGCAACACAATGCAAACGAATGCCAAGCGATGCCAAACAATGCCAAGCAATAACACCGGCAAGCGATACCAAACAATGTCCAGCAATGCGACGCAATTCAATTCAATGCCACGCACTTCAAATGATGCCAATCAGCGCACGCCAGTACAACCTAACGCAGAGCGATGCCAAGCGATGCCAAGCAGTCCAAACATGTCAAACAAAGCCAAGCAACGCAACTCAGCGCAAAGCAATACGGTGTCAAGCAAGCCAATGCAATGGCAAGCAATGCCAAACAATGGATCGTTTCCCTACTAAGCGTCTCGCTGGGTTCATTTATACTTATCGAAGACGCTTACGGCGAATCACCGCCGCCCTCTGCATTTTGGAAGCGCTTATGCGGCCGAACGTTGTGGCCAGAGCTCGGCCAAGCGATCGGACTATGTGTTCCAGCCGTTGTTCAAACCCTCCGGGGAACACGTGGGGGAGAATGGCGGGGAAGATCAGGAGGCGGAGGATCAGGAGGAGGGGGGATGTGAGCCTCTGGGGGCACTCTTGGGGTCTCCTGGGAGCTTTCTGGGGGCCTCTTGGAGGCATCTTGGGGGCCTCCTTCCTCTTGGGGGCCTTTAAGGGGCCTCTTGGGGGTCTCTGTGTCCGTCTTAGGGCGTTCCTGGCCCGTCTGACGCCGTCGGAAGTCGTCTTGGGAGCCTCCCTGAGCCGACCTCGGGCCCTCTTAGGGTGCTCCAGGGCCGTCTTGGAGGTCACCTTGGATGTCTTGGGGGCCTCGTGGACCGTCTTGAGGTCCTCCTGGGGCCGTCTTGGGGGCCTCTTGGGCCGTTCTGGGGTCATCTCGGAGGCCTCTTGGGTGATCTTGAGGCGATCTTTGGGGGAGGCTCTCGGGCCTTCTCGGGCCGTCGAAAGGCCGAAAAGAAACAAATGCCATCTTCAAACACCTGATTGAAAATCAATGATTTAGGCATCTTCGGGCCTTCCTGGAGGCCTTCACTTCTTGGGGCCTATTGAGCCGTCTTGTGCCATACTAGGCTCACCTTCGGCCGTCTTGGCGGCTGCTTGGGTGGACTTGGAGACATCTTGGACTCTCTTGCGCCGTCTTGGAGTCCATCTTGGACCATCTTGGGCGAGCTTGGAGGCCATCTTGGCCGTCTTGGAGGCCATCTTCGAGCCATCTGGACCATGACAAACCTTTGCAACTGGCTCTTCCAGGTGGCTGGTGCGCTGGGCCGAAGCCCCACGGGGAGTTCTTGTTCGGGGACACGTAAGACTCGAGTAAGCCGGAACTCTAGTTCGCCGACGTTTTTTGACGAGCGCGTCATGGATCTTTGCGGTCCTGTTTTCGTGGGGTGTCTGCAGCGGGAGCTCACGTCAAATTTCAGATTGGGCCTCGTCATTTTCAGTATGGCTAACCCGAGTCCCCCGAACCCGAGTCTTCCGTCTCCCCTGATTTTCGGAACAGAACCAAAACCAAAAACAACTCTTGAACTTCAGCATGCCAGGCACCTCGATGATAAATCAACAGGGGGTGGTGGACCGAACGGCCTTTGGCCCATCCCGCCGCCGTGCCTGGGTTGTGGGTATGAAGCCTATTGGATCGCGAGTATAAAATAAGTTATGTGGGTTTATGGTCTCGGGGGCGCGAATTTTATGTAATTTAACACTGCTTATGGTTTCGTGGACGCGAACATTGCTTAAATCAGAAAGTTGTTTGTGGCTTCGCGGGCGCGAGCACGGCGTAATTTACGAAGTTTCGTGGCTTCGGGGACGCGAATATGGCGTAAGTTACTAAGGAGATTGTGGCCTCGGGGACGCGAATCTCATGCATTTTTGCGTGTGCCACTCCCCCCCCAGGAATTCAGACAGCGCGATCTGGGCGCGATGAAAAAGCTGGTTTGGCCCCCCTCCCCTCGTGCATTCAGCAACAATCCACCAGCCCACTTGCCTTGCCACCAGGCTGCGAGGATGAGGATTGCAGCTCCCTGTTCCAGTTGCAGTTTCTAGTTTCCGCTGTTCCAGTATCGCGTTGTGTGAATTCCTGCGGGGGGGGTTGCGGGACACGTAGAAATACATGAGATTCGCGTTCCCGAGGCCATAGTCCTGAGTAAATTACGCCAGATTCGCGACCCCGAGGCCATAAACCCTTCGTAAATTAAGCGCTATCCGCGTCCCCAAAGCCAGAAACCTTCGTAAATTACGCGGTGGTCGCGTCCCCGAAGCCGTACACCTTTTTGTGAATTGAGCGAAATTCGCGCCGCCGAGACCAGAATCCAAGTAAATTATGCAAGCTTCGCGCCCCCGATGCCATCAACTTTTAAACGTTCGATTTAGATTCGCGTCCCCAGGGCCATAAACCCTCGCCAATTACACCGTACTTGCGTCCCCGAGGCCACAAACCCTGGCAAATTGCACGATATTCGCGCCCCCGGGCCATACACCTTAGTAACTTATGCAATCTTCGCGTCCCCGAAGCCATCAACCTTCAACTTAGATTTGTGTTCGAGTCCCCAGGGCCATAAACCTTTATCAATTACATTGTACTTGCGTCCCCGAGGCCACAAACCTTCACACGTTGTTCAATAGTCGCGCCCCCGAGACCACACGCCATTGTAAAGTACGCAATAATCGCGTCCCCGAAGCCATACTCTTGTGTAAATTACGCGATGTTATCGTCCCGGAAGCCACAAACCTTCGTAGCTGACGCGATGTTCGCGTTCCCGAAACCATGAACCCTCTACATACATTGCGTAATATTCGCGCCACCGAAACCGTACATTTTTGAACATTGAGCAATATTGCCGTCCCCAGGGCCATCAATTGTTTGTAAAGTGCACCATGCTTGCGCCCCCGAGGCCACAACCGTTGCACTATGATACAATATTCGCGCCCCCGAGGCCATACACCTTTTGTAAATTACGCAATACTTGCGCCCCCGAGGCCATCATAAACCTTTTGTAAATTGCGTCGTATTCGCGCCACCGAAGTACACCCTCGTAAATTTGAATTGGCCCTCGCGTGAAGTGCCGACATTGCTTCGCGTCAGCGCCCAGACATTCCAACACAGCTCTGGCAAGTCCCATTCTAAGAGAGGGGGGCCGGCGGCATGGGGGCGAAACCCTTACGGATTCACAGTAAGAAAGCAGCAAGCAGGATGGTAACAGTGGAAACTGGAAGTTGTAACTGGAACAGGGAGGTGCAATCCTCATCCTCGCCGCCTGGTGGCCCCGCGCGAGGGCCGGCGGATTAGAACCACATCTCTATATGTCTCTCTCTCTCATCCTTTTCTCCTTTTCGTCGTCCTTCTCCTCTCGAGCCTCTTCTCTTTTCTTTCTTCCGTTTGTTATGACCGACCAGTCGATGTCTTCTTCCGCCACTTCTAGTTTTTCGTATCCCCGTCTGATCCTTCTCCATCTCCTCCTCCTCCTGTCCCTCCTCTTTGATTCCTCCCCTTCTTCTTCTTCTTCTTCTTCTTTTTCTTCTTCCTCTTCCCCTTCCTCCTCCTCTTCCTCTTCCTCTTCCTCCCTCTCCCCCCGATGGTGCGCAGCGGCCGGCGGCGGGGCCTCGTGAGGAGCGCTGGGCACCAGCAGCGGTGCATCTTCCACAGCCACCCGAGCTGCAGCACCGGGCGCCGCCCCGCGGACGTTGCGCGCCTCCGCCGCCGCGGTCGTCGACGCCGTCCCCTGGAAGGAGGAGGAGATACAGGAGGGAAAAAAACACACACACACACAGACACAATTCATCGTCGATCCCCAGGAAAATATGGGAAGACATGGGAAGTGGGGGGGGCAAAAACCCCGAACGCATGGGAACATATTTGGGGGATCCTGTTCTTTGTGTGTATTTCTTTGTGTGTCCCAGGGCCCCTGCAGAGATACCGGTACTTCTGCTTATCCTGGAGATCCCTCGTCGCCACGGCTGAATTCTCTTCGAACTTCTGGACAGAATGCACCTCACTACCTTCGTCAGAATTAATTTCAAAAGTGGCGGACGTGCCCCTTCGAGGTCGGCGCCGTGGTAGTAGCGGTATGGGTATCTTTTCCCCCCCCCCGTCCTCGTCGCCATCGCCGAGGATCGAGGATCGATCGTTGACCTTAGATCGGTGTCCCCCTGGCCCTGGCCTCTCGCCTGACGCGGTCTGTTTGGTCCTCCTGCCTCTCTCCGTGTATTTGGCCGGGCAGCGCATGCTGCCGGGAACCGACGCAGAGAGCTGACTGCTGCAAGTTCTGGTTGGGGTCCATGCGAGGATCGGATGTTCGAGGGCTCCCTGGAGCCTCTCGCTTCCTGGCCGTCCAGGGGCGTCGTCTCCGTCGTCCTCAGCGGCGGCGAGGCCAGGCGAGGGCTGTCGTCGTCACCCAGGAAGGCATGACGGCGTGAACAGGATCAGGAACTGACTTGTCAAAGGTGATGATTATTCTGATGATGATGCTGCTGATGATGATGCTGCTAATGATGATGCTGCTGATGACGCTGTTGCTGCTGCAGATGATGGTGATGATGATTATGATGATGGTGGTTATGATGATGACGGCGATGATGATGATACTGATAAAGATAATGTTGCTCACGCTGCTGCTGCTGATGGTGATTCTGATGATGAGGATGGTGATGATGATGCTGCTGATGATGATGATGACGACGACGACCACGACGGCGGCGATACTGATTATGATGATTCTGATGGCGATGATGATGACGACAACGACAATGCTGATTATGGTGATGATGATTCTGATGATGTAGATGATGCTGATGATGACGATGCTGATCATGAGGCTGATGTTGTTGATGATGATATTGCGCATGGTGGTGGAGATGAGGCAGATGATGGTAATGATGGATGATGATGCTGCTGATGATGATGACGACGCGGCTGGTGATGCTGAGTGATGGTGATCATGATGATGAGATGCTGATGATGATGCTGATGATGATGACGATGATGAGGATGATGCCACGAACAATGCTGATGAGGATCATGAGGATGTTGATGAGATGCTTCTGATGATGATGATGAGGATGATGATCATGAGGAGTATGCTGCTGATGCTGATGCTGATGCTGATGCTGATGCTGATCATGACTATGATGATTACGATACTGATGATGATGATGATGATGATGATGATGATGATGATGATGATGATGATGATCATGCCGATCATACTTATTATGATGATGATGCTAGCGCTGCTGCGGCTGATGACGATGATGTTGACGATGCTGACGGCGACGATGATGATGATGCTGACGATGATGATGATGATGATGATGCTGATGATGATGCTGATGCTGCGGATGATGCTGCTGATGATGATGCTGGTGGTAAAACTGAAGCTGAGGATGCTGCTGATGATGATGATCATGCTGATGATGCTGCTACTGCTGATGATGATGGTGATAAAGAAGATGAGGATGATGCTGATGATGATTATGACTGCGATGCCGATCAGGATTATGATGATGATGATGACTATGCTGATGACGATGATGATGATGATGATGATGATGATGATGATGATGGTGATGGTGATGATGATGATGATGATGATGATGATGATGATGATGATGATGATGATGACGGTGATGCTGATGATGATGAAGAGTATGATTCTGATGATGCTGATGATTATGATGATGATGATGCTGATGAGGATGATGATGATGATGATGATGATGATGATGATGATGATGATGATGATGATGATGATGATGATGATGATGATGATGAGGCTGATGCTGTTGCTGCTGCTGCTGCTGCTGCTGCTGATGATGATGATGATGATGATGATGATGATGATGATGATGATGATCATGATGGAGTGGGAGGGGTAAGATGAGGAGGGGAGGGTGGAGGGGGAAGAGGATGAGGATGAGGACCATCACAGGCCATGGGGGAAGGATAGGGTTAGGTTGAACCGACCCTAATCGAAACCTTGAGGTTACAGTCGATCCCGTCTTACGCTCTAATTTTGCTTGCCACGCCTCTTCTTCTTGAGGAGTTGAGCGACAGGGATTGGCAGGGAAATTTGGGGCGGGCTGACATGTTGCTCTTGGGATGTCGGTGGCCAGACAAAAGTGACATCATTAATGTGTGCTTCTGGAGGTCTTTAATTAGGCAAGGCAATGCAACAACACTACCTGGGCACGATTCAAACATGCGAGACTTGCGGGTGCTATCCGTTCTGGCTCGGGTGTTGCAGAGGAGGCACAGCCAGTGATTATTCAACCACGCCCTCTGGTGCCTGGCGCCACTCTGCGGCTTACGGCACGCACGAGCACGCCGAGGCTGATCCGCTGGTGGCGGGAGGGGGACGGTCCACTGCTTGACCGCTCCCGCAGCCCCCCCCAGGGGGGCTGAGGCTCTTGAAGGGCTTCTCGTAGGCCTTCTTACCCGACTTAGGGTAGAGAGGGGACTAGAGGGAAAGCGCCCTCGCTGCATACTTAACAAAACGCTGGACTCGACTGCGAGTGTCTTTATAGCAGTCGATCCCCATCAGGGGCGGGGCGGGGATTCGGTCCGCAGCTTGCTTGGCGACCTTGTCCGCCCAGTGGTAACCCTTGGCCAGAAACCAGTCCCTCGAGCCAGCCTCCAGTGACTCTGGATCCTGGTGGGCCTTCAGTTTCGCCAATCTCGACCTGACCAAAACTGAAGCACCAGACGTTCGGGGTTGCGTACTGCTGTCTGTCCACCACGGCCATGTTTAGCAGCTTGGTGGGGCAATTTTGCGCCATGATGGTCGTATCTGCTATTTGTCCGGCATTGGCAGTGCTCTCAGCAGGCATGCTCATCGGTGGGGCTATGGCTTGGTGGTGTCCGCTCCTTCTCCTCCCTCCAAAATTGCGCGGGAAAAATATATTTCCTTCCCACAACCCTTGGGGCTCTGGTGGACCGAGAGGATGCCTGTAGAATCTGTCCACGCTGTCGTGGTTCTGGGGCACGACACAGCAGCGAGGAATCCTAAGTGTTCGGCAGCGGGCGAAGTGGGGGACAGGCTGGCCCCCACGGGGCCAGCGAGGCTGGCAACTAGGTCGCCCTCCTCGTCAATTTTGACCACGGACCAGGCGGGGGCATCGTAGACCGCCGGTCCTGATTTTGAAACGCGGCCATCCTGGAAAACTTCTCCTTCCATGGCCACCTCCTTGGGCTGACCATCGCGAGACCAATACACCGCTTGATCTAGACCTAGTCTAAGGGGCCTCAGAGCTATAGGTTCAGGTCGGTGCTGAAACCCCATTGCATTAGGAAATCCTCTCCTCGGGTCCTTTGGCTCCTCGGTGTCTCCATCTTTCAAATTTTCCTCCCTGGGGTTGTTGGTTCCAGGGCAATCGAAGAGCCTGTGGGGAAGAGAACCTGCGGGGCCCTTGCACAACTCACACTCGAATTCACACTCGTAGCCTGCCGAGGCCATCTTTGCTTCGGACCACATGCGCTGGCAGCCGTAGGAAAGCAGCGTCTTGCGCATATGGCCTGGGATCGAGGTGTCCTGCAGCGCGTGCTGCATGACCGACGGGTCTAGTGACGCGTGTGCTGTGCCACGAAACGGTTTTCTCTTGCCCGCATCAAACATTAATTCGTGGAAGGGAAGGGGTGGGCTTGTCGCTTCGAGGGCAAAACCATCTATCTTGGCTGCGTTATCGGGCCTGGGGCGGTCCCTCGGGATGCTCGGGCGGCCCCCTCTTGCAGGGCCCTGGCCAGGGCCTCGGCGACGGGCGCCCGCGGTGCCTCGCGCGCGACTCCTGCCGACCGCTGCCGTGATCGCATCCGGCCGGTGCTCGGACCCAAGATGCAGCTCTCTGAGCTCGACTGGAGTGCTTCGCAGATCGAGCGTCGCCTCCACCCGCGACTGTTCCGCAAGCCGCGCTCCCCTTTTTCGGCTTTCTGACTGGTTTCAGCTCGTGCACTTCGGCGGCCCCGCGGGGCGCGGCTCTGATGCGCAGCGCGCTCGTGGCCTGCGCGACGTGGCATATTCGTCTGCAGCAACTGTGCTTGGCTATGTGGGCACGGGAGAGGTTTGGGTGGTGGGCGGGGCCATCCCTTTCTCCTCCCTTTTGGCGTTCGCCTGCCATTGCGGGGGCGTTGGCCGAGGCTGCCGCAGGCTTCCCGTCGAGAGCGCGGCTGCGCCAAGAGGGGGCATCGCGCTGCAGCTGGGGAGCCGAAGCGGGTGCCGCGTTGGCAGAGCTGCTTCTCTCGGGCGCTCTAGGACCCGGCCTTTTCGGCTGCTCCGGACCCAGTGATGGAGCGCTGGGTTTTGCAGCATTGCAGGGTTCGAAGGGGCTCCTCCGATTGGGAGTGGCAGGGATGCCGAGCAGCCCTTCACCACCCACCAAACCACCCCAACCCAACCCGAAGGCCCAAATTTATCCTCGATTTCCAGTGGGGGGGGGGGTCGGGGACTGTTGAAAAATCACATGGAATCCGTACCCCCCCCAACCCGAAATTCGGGTCAAATTCGGGTCTTCGGGTTGGGTTGGGGTGGTCTGGTAGGTAGTCAGCCCTCGCTCTGCTTTGCCCCAGTCGTGGGCGACCATATCGGTCCGTTCAGCGTTGGGAGGGCGGGTCACGGGCGGCCGCGCGCAGCGAGCAGGGCCCGGCGTTCTCGGTTGCCACGCCCCCCGCGCCGTCTCCCATCACCTCGCTCGTCCTCGCCCGATCTTCTGGGCCTCTCGGGCCCTCCGATCTCCTCTCCCCTCCCACTCGCTGGTTCTGCTGGGCCTGGGAGGCCAATGCTTCGCGGTCGTGGCGGGTCTCTACCACTTCTGCCGTCTCTCCTCACCATTCTGGCCTACCGCGTCTACAGATTCCCCGCTCTTTGCGTCCTCATGCAGCTGGATGGTCTACCGTCGAATTGGGGCGCTTACGAGCAGAAGGTGTGCGCGCTGCTCTTCCCGGGGCCTCGCTGCTGGACGTCGCCAGCCGCCCTCCAGGACCTTCGCTCCCTGGGTTTCCCGTCGCAGTTGCCCGACGCCAGCGCGGCATCACTGGCAGCCAAATGCCGAGTGCACCGTTGGGGGGTCGACGCCGCCGGCGGCCTGCAGACCCCGCGCCGGCGCCGCAGCTTGCAGGGCAAGATCGGCGAATTGAGCCGGGTCGTGCAGGTGGGCACGTGGCCGACGCGGTACACAGGCAACTTCATCCTGAACCTCCAGGCGGGCCCAGTACTGCCTCGAGTCCCGCGCCGCGGCGGCCAGCCAGATTGTCGCCCAGCTGTTCCAGGGCACTTCCTATGAGCCGACGCCTCGGTCGCAGTGGCAAAGGCGGTGTCGCGAGCTGCTGACTCGGCCCAGCCAGGTGTGCACCACCCTGGAAATGTCTGGTTCCCTCTGTCGCCTCCCCCTCCTCCTCTTCCCTGGCCGACGCACGCCGCGCGCGCTGGAGGTGCTGCGCGGCCTAGCGCCGTCTGTGCCCCCTAGAGTCTGGGCTGCCCTCTACAGGGCGCCGTGCGACAGCTTGCCGACAGCCCGTCGTTTTGGGCGGTGGGCGCCGTCTCCTTTCGGCTGTGCACGTGGCGACAGTAGCCTGCTGTACTTCGCGCGCTGCCCCCGTGTCGCGGAGTTGGGTTACAAGCGCTGGCGTTTGCCCCGCCCCGCCCCAGCGTCAAGGCTGTCATGTTTCGTCGCTCTGGAGCCGGTTTTCTCTGAAGGCGCAGCGCCAGAGAGCTAGCCCGTCGCGCCCTGGCAGCATACTGTACATGCGCTGCCTCTCGTGCCGCCCGGCATGGCGCTGCCGCGGACGCAGCAGGTGCCCGGTGGCAGTACGGTCTCGCGAGGCTTGCGCGTCCCACCCACCACTAGCGGCCGTGCTTCGCGCAGCTGGCCAGGATAGTGTGCTGATTTGTCCATGTACCCCCCCTCGTTTCTTCCCCGCCCTTCTCCCTCCCCCTTTTCCTGCGCATGTTGCATGTGTGTGTGTGGTTTCACAGTGCCCATATATAGCTACTCGCTGCTCCCGCAGTCCCCTGCGCGCCGGTGCTCATCGCATGGCCACGCATTTGCGTATCATATCGTCGTTGCTCTGCTGCTCGTCCTCGTCTCCTCCTTCCGTCTCGCCTCCTTCCTCTCTCCTCCACCATTCTTTGGATCACCTCAAGCATGCGACTTTTCCGCTCGAGGATTCTGCGGCGTGCAACCAGCACCTGTCGCACAGGCTTCCGCTCGAGCCCCGAAGAAAAAATAGCTCGTGACCGATCGGCGTGTGTGTTGTAGGGTAATCCACAGCAGCCGCAGCGGCTTGGCGCTGAGTGTTGGCTCTGTTTGTGCAGATTTCCTCCCTCCGTCCTTCCTGCTGTTCCCTCCTGTCTTCTCCTCCTCTTCCCTCCTCCAGCCCGAGTCCAGGGCCATTGCTGGTTCTTGCCTTCAGTGCTCAGCCAGCTGTGCAACGCTTATCGGCCACGCGGTCGGGTCACGGTCGGCTCTGTTCATTCCCTTGGGCCGGATACGTTTCACGATATTTTCGTATCTTCGGTCATCTGGCAAATCTTTTTTGTTGCCTCTGTCCCACTCGTGCGCACAGCGTTGGATGTAGCTCAGTGGCTTCACAATGGCGTCGCCGGCATTGGCACCATTCTGCTGTGTCCGCTCCCTTTCCTCCCTTTCACAAAGAACCCACCGCCTTTCCTCTCACCTCGCCTGCTCTCTTTCCCGTCCCAGCACGCTCGACGAAGCGGCCTCGCTGGTCGATGCGGTGAGGGTTGTCGTTCGTCTCCCGCGCCGTGCCCTACAAAGCTTTTCGACCGCGGGCTTCTGTCGCGCTCGGTCACGGGGGCGACGAGCTACGTTCAGGCTCGCCCTTGCCCCTCACTGGAGGCTGGCGCCTGTTTTTTTATGCATGGTATCCGCATCACTTCAGAATGTAGCAGTTCTAGTAGGAGGAGGAGGAGGAGGAGAAGGAAGAGGAGGAGGAGGAGGAGGAGGAGGAGGAGGAGGAGGGGGGAGGAGGGGGAGGGAGGGAGGGAGGTCTGGACTTCTTATCGCACGCTCCACCTCCTCCTCCTCCCCCTCCTCTTCCTCCTCCTCCTCCTCTTCATCAGCGGCGACGGCGACGGCCGAGGACGAAGACGGAGGACGACGACGCACGAGGACGGCGCAATGCGGCGACGAGTCGACGAGTGGCGACGACGACGACGCGCGGCCTCGCCCGCGTGGCGCCCCGCCGCACGGCCCCGTCGGGCCCACCGCAGGACCAGCTCGGGGCCTTCTCCGTCGCCAGCGGCGCGGACATGTGCCGGATCCAAGGCGGCAGCGGGGAGGGGGAGGAGGACGTCGATCAGGAGGAGGAGGAGGAGGAGGAGGAGGAGGACGAGGAGAGGGGAGGAGGGCGATGGTATTCAGACCTTGCGATCCCAGATGTTCTATCTTTGTTCAGCATCAAGAGATGGATGTTGTTGATGATGCTGTTGATGTTGTTGGTGGTGATGAGGATGGTCACTCGTTATGGTGCTGGTGATCGTGATGATGCGCTCTTTGAAGTGCTGTTGATGACGACAGCTGTTGGTAGTGATGCTTGTTATTGATGATGGCGAGGAGGTGGAATAATATGATGAAAATGATCATGTCGAAGTGATGCCGAGGATGGGGGAAAGAGGATGTGGACCTTGGTGCCGATGATTACGATGATGACGATTATGTTGATCATGATGACGATGCTGATTATGATGAAGTCGATGAAGATGACGATGACGATGGTGATGACAATGATGATGCTGTTGATGATGATGATGATGATGATGATGATGATGATGATGGTGCTGATGATGATGTGGAGAAGGAGGAGAAAAAGGAATTCGAGTAGGAGGGGGATGGGATGACGATGGCGATGACGGTAACAATGACGACGACGATATTGATGATGATGATGATGATGATGATGATGATGATGATGATGATGATGATGATGCTGGTAGTGATGGTGATGGTGGTGATGGCGATGATGAAACTGATGAGGAGGATCATGCGACGACGACGATGATGATGCTGATGATGAGGAGGAGGATGAGGAGAAGGATGATGATGATGATAATGATGATGATGATGATGATGATGATGATGATGATGATGATGATGATGATGATGATGATGATGATGATGATGATGATGATGATGGTGACTCGGAGACTGATAATGCTAATGATGATGACGATGGGGATAGCGATGACGATGTTGTTGGTATTGTCGGTAGCGGTGATGAGGATGACAATGGTAATAGTGGTGGCGGGTCTGTTGACCATGAAGAAGAGGAGGAGGCGGATGAGGTGGGGGAGGAGGAGGATGAGGAGGAGGAGGATGAGGAGGAGGAGGAGGAGGAGGAGGAGGAGGAGGAGGGCGAGGAGGAGGAGGAGGAGGAGGAGGAGGAGGAGGAAGACGAGGATCATGTCGAGGATCTAATGCAGGGTGCTTCTCTCACGACCTTCCCTTTTATCGTCAACTGCCGCTGTCGCCCCTAGCTTTTTTTACCCGCCCAAGCCTGGCCACGGCGCGGTGCGGCTCCTTCTTCCCTCCGCCCCCCCACCCGCCTGCCCTGGGCCGCGGGCGACGGCTCTTGGCGTCACGCGCGGTGCCCCTGGCGGGGCTGGCGGCCCCGAAGGCGCGGGCCATGGCCACGGTCAAGGCCTCCGTGCCTGCCTGCGGCTTCGGCGTGGGCGCCACGAAGAAGGGCGAGCTGCCGCTGAGGGTGGAGAAGCGTGCCAGGGGCAAGAAGGTGACCCGCGGAGGGACTCCGAGCACCGCCGCCGTGCCTGGCGAGGACCACGCCGGGCCCTGGAGTGGTGCACGTCCCCTCCTGGCCTCGGCCAGGAGGGAGGGCGCATGCACCATGCCAGGGTCCAGAGGGGGCCCTGGCCAGGCAATGGTGGTGCTGTGATTAGAAAGGGCGCCTCTTGCGCAGGTGACCGTCATCCCCAACGTGACCGGGGACGCCTCCAAGCTGGCGCGGGCCCTGCAGACGATGCTCGGGGTCGGCGGGACGGTCCGGCAGGTGGAGGGGGGCGCCTGGGCGGTGGAGGTGCAGGGGGAGCAGGTGGGGCGGGTGACGCGCGCGCTGCTCGACTTCAGGTGCCTCCAGGGGCTGACCAAGGTGGCGCTGGAGCGGCTGCAGGAGAGCATCGAGACCGGCAGCAGGGACGCGGACAGCTCCGTGGTTGCCAGGAGCGTCGCCACAAAGTTTCTGGCGCGGACTCAAGAGGGCAAGGCGTCGACCAAGGAGGACAGGCAGAAGGCCCTGGCGATGGAGGCGGAGTTTTATGGCCACTATTGGGACACGGCGGTCGCGTCGTCGGTGGACGATTTCTCCGACGTGTGGGAAGAGACCCTTGCTGCAGACGGCGCGCCTGGAACGGAGGTCAAGGCGGTGCCCGTGCAGAGCGAAGTCGAGCTCACTTTCGCGCTGAAGGCGCTGGGAATGTTCCCGGAGACCGGCCGCGCCGTGAAAGAGTTCTGGGAGAAGAACACCGGCATGACCGTGGCTCAGTTCAGGAAGATGGCGCTGAACCCCGGCGCTCGCTTCACGGGCGAGGGTCCAGCCCAGAAGGAGGTACCATCCAACCTCGTTTCGCGGCAGAAGGTGTCGGATCGGAAGGCGGGGGGCGGCAGGACCAACTATTTCTCTTACACGTGCTCCGTCATCGACGCCTACCAGCGCGGCATCGCGGTGAGTAAGGACACGGAGTCCGAGCCAGCACCCGCTGAGGCCGAGGAGCCCAAGATGGGCATCAGCAGCGACGAAGAAGGCTGGTGCACTGCGACCATGCATTACGTGCTGCCGTTCCAGCCGCCCAGCACCAGGCTCGATGCGGAGGAGTGCGCCAGGGTGTCCAGCGGCGCCCTGAGCAAGATAGAGAAACATATCAGGGAGGACCTTGACAGGATTTCGGGGAGTCTCCCTGGCGTTGAGTGCTGCCTGGACAGCAGCTCGTTCCGTCTGGACCTAAAGCTTCACGAGCGCGAGTTTTTGCACGCAGGGAAGCGGGACACTGGGGGTAAGCCCCTGGACAACAACGCAAAAGAGGAGCTCAGACTCGAGAAGAAGCTCAGGGAGATCGCTGCGCTCAAGCGGCGCCAGGTCGAGGGCGAGACCCTGGAGAAGCTCCAGGTCGAGAAGGTCCTGAAGAGGGGTGAGCTCTTCGAGCAGGTCGCCGAGCTCAAGCTCCGGCGGGCCGAGAAGGAGCTCCGCCGCCTCTTCAAGAGCCACTCCAAGCGCTTCCAGGAGGCCTTCTGGGACTGCGAGCACCAGGCCCTCTTCGGGGGCGGCTCGGCGGCGTCCGCCGCCTCCTCCTCCGCCGCCATGTCCTTCGGGACGTTCGACGAGGCACGGGCGACAGGAGGGCACCCACGCACCACTGGCAGGGCTCCACAGGCCCACCTTCGGGCCTAGTTCCAGCCTGGTGCATCGGCTCCCGCACGGGCCGAGAGGGCCCCGATGCGCCAGCGCCTGGCCCCCAATGGGCCTGTGGTTGCTCGGCGGCGGTGCGTATGGTCAGGATGCTCTGCTTGGCGGTGTCGCTTGGCGTTTTGCTCCGCGTGTCGCGCCCACGACGCTTCGGCGAGCCGCGCGAGCCACTTCCCGATTCCTAAGCGCCACTTCCCGACCTGTCCCCAGCCTCCCGCCCTGCGGAGCGGAGCGACACGCTGCACGCTTGCAGGACATGGTGTCGCCAGGGCCGCTGCCGCGACACGGCCAAGCAAGAGTTCCCGTCCGTACTTGCCTACCCTCTCCCGACGGAGGGGCAGCGAGAGGGCCCGGTGACGCTGAGCTCCGACGGGACGCGCGCCGAGGGTGCCGCCTCCCGGTGGGCCGGGGTTGGGCTGCACTTGCTGGTGCGCGGCGGCGAAGTCGGCGCCTTTGCGGTGGAGGTGCTGGAGGGCCTCGTGCGGCTCGGGTGGGCTGCTCAGGGCGCGGGCCTGAGCGACCTCGGCGCCGACGATAGGATTTGCAGAGGGCATCTGCGCACCGCCACAGTGCCCTGGCCGGGGCCATCCCGGGCACTGGGGTGGTGTGTACAGTCGGCCCAGATTAGCAGGTCGACCCTGCCAAATCAAGGGTACCCTTGTGTTCGCGCGACCCATGCTTCCTGCATTCCTGTGGCAGTGTGGCCCTCGGACGGGTCGTTTGTCCTCTCGCGTGTCCTGTCCAATGAAGCCCGACTGTGCTGCATGCCTGGGCCCAGGATGGCCCCGGCAGGCACGGTGGAGGTGTTTATGTGGGGGCCTGCTGCGTGCAGGAGCTTCGGCTTCGGCGGGTCTGGCGAGAAGGTGCACCGTGGGGTCTTCGAGCCGTACGGGCGGCGGTTTACCGCGGGGGACGTCATCCACTGCGAGGTGGAGCGCGAGGCTGGAGGAGGAGGAGGAGGAGAGATTCAAGCAGTGGCGAAGCGTCCTGGCTCGCCTGTAACACTACCAGACGATGTTATAAGAACCTTTTGCGGTTCCCACGAAATGCTCTTGGAACATGTATGTTGGGGACTGTCTTGTTTTATCACATCGAGTTTCTGTTCTAAGAACATAGCTGTGGTTCTTATTTCTGGGTTGTATGAACATTTCGTGGTAGGACTATAGGAATGCCAGGACGGACCGTGCTCAAGAGATGGGGAGGAGGACATCAGGCCGCGCAACGGCGGCTAAAATGCAGGCAGGCTCCGCCGGTCACCGCAGTGTCCACAGCTGCTGGAACACCTGCGATACCTGCCAGAAGCAGCGCAGGCAGCACTCACATCACTGCAACCACATCACTGCAGCCGTTGGCACAGGCGCATCATGTCGGGGTACACGGCGCGACATATAAGCATTGCAGGCGGACGCATCAAATTCAGTGAACAGCTGATCCGCCCGAGAGCGGAAGACCCGTCTCCGTTTGAAGCCCTGCCAGCATGCGCATGACGTTGCTGAAGCGTTTTGCCTCGATGGCCAAGCGCTTCTGCGACCTCACGCGTGCGGGTGGACGCTCTGTTTCTCCCCCCGACAGTGCTTGCACCGATGGGGCTGTTCCTGGATTTCCTATAGGCAAAGAGTTGGGCTGCGGCCTTCGCCCAGAGCCTCTCCGTCGCCGCCGGCTTGCAGCCCCGTGCGCTGGCCGGCGGTGCTGTGCTCGCCCAGTGTCCGCCCGCCGCCGCGGGCTCGTCGCCGCCGCCTCGCCGCCCCGTGCGCTGGCCAGCAGTCCCGGGCCTCCGCCGGGCGCCCGCCCGCCGCCGCCTTGCTCGCCGACCCTCGGGCACGTGCGCTCGGCTGGCGTATTTGCCCGGGGCCCGCCCGTCGCCGCCTCGGCCGCGGGCCGGCGTCGCCGGAGCTCTCGCCGCGTGGCCTCGTGGGGTGGCATACACAGCGATGCACCAAGCGCTGCTTACGCCTGGGGGTTCTCGTGTCTCTGCTCAGGAAGGGGCCTGCGGGCCGCCCTGGCTGCCACGTGGCCGTCGTCGCCGCCCCGTCGCCGCCCGTCACCTCGGCCCGCGGGCCGCTCTGGCCGCCATGTGGCCGCCGTCGCCGCCCCGTCGCCGCCCGCCGCCTCGTCGCCGCCCGCTGTGCATTGCTTCTCATTGCTTTTGATTGCTTCGCATTGCTCTGCATCTTTGTTGCATTGGTTGGCATTGCTTGGCATTGTTTTTTCGTTCAATCGTTGGCACCACGTCGGCTGCAATGCGTATATTATATTCTCCTTTCTAAACAGAGAATAGACTCTACCCCCCCCGGACTTATCGCTTCCCCTTGGGATCGTATAATTTCACATCTTTTTATTATATATATATATATATATGTATATAAACGCTTGCGGTAGATAAGTCGGGGGTGGGAGATCAGGGGTGCGGAGAAGGCATGGCCGTAAAGAGATTGCATGGCAGTCGCTGTTGTGGCTCAGTCTCTTGAGGCTTTCTGCCCTGCGGGGCATGTCTGATCCTGGCTCTGGGCCGCCACCGCCAGCCTGGGAACCCATCCAGCAGGCGGTCGCCTCACTTCCTGGGCCGCCGCCCGGCTGGCCCCCGCGGCCTCCTGGGCGCTACTGCGGATGGTGCTCGGGTCGGCTCGGCCCCAACGAGTCGTTGGCGCTGGCCCTGAACGGCCAGCTGTGGGAGGTGTGCGAGCTGTGCTACCTCCTGGCGCTGGCGCGGCAGCACGCTTGGCGGGCCCGGCTGACGCCGGGCGAGCGTGCGGTGCTGCTGGAGCAGGCGCGCCACCTGACGGCACTCCTGGCGGCGCTGGCCGGCCTGGCGGACGAGGTCGTCCGAGATGCCGCCCAAAGCTAAGGCCAAGGCGAATGGCAAGGCCAAGGCGGCAGCTCGGGGCCTCGGCGTCGCGCGCGGCGGGGGACGCGCCCGCGGGCGCGGCCGCGGCGGTGGCCGAGGCGCAGTGGCGGCGGGCCGCGGGCGTGGCCACGCCCAAGGGGGCGCGGGAACCGCGGGAGGTGGCCCCGGCGCGGGGCCTCCTGCGCTGGGGATCGCGGCTGGAGCGCTGCCAGGCCCGCCTGCCGCCGCGCCTGGAGGCGATGCGCCTGGGGCGCCGCCCGGCGCCGTGGCTGGGGTCGGCGCGGCCCTTGTGGGGGCCCTGGTTGCGCTTCCCGCTCCAGGAGGGGGGCCGCCGCCTGGCGCGCCGCCGGCGCCTGGGCCCCTCGCGCTGCCAGGGGCGGCTGCTGCTGGCGCTGGTGGCGGCGGCGTGGCGGCCGCTGCGGGGCCGGCGCCCGCCGGCGGGGGCGCCGTGGCACTGGAGCGGCTGGTGGGCGGCCCCTGGATGGGCTCGCCGGCCCTGCAGCGCGGCGCCTTCGCAGCGGGGACGGTGCTGGAGACGCCCACGCACGACCCGACGGGCCAGGTGGACGGCGCGGCGCTCTTCGAGGTCGTGGAGGCGGGCGTGCCGGGCCCCGACGGGGTCTACCTCTCCGTGAACTTCCGGGGCGCCTCGCTCCCAGCCCGCGCCCTGGAGCTGGACCTGAGCTTCCCCGCCCCAGGCGCCGGGCAACCAGGGGTCCTGCACCTCTGTGCGGGCGGCGCCGCTGCCTGCAGGGCCCCGCGGCTGGTCGGGCGCGGCGAGCGGCACGCCGACTGGCTGCGCCTGAGGTCGGCTCGGAGCCTGGTCGAGCCGTGGGTTCGGCCGACCTTCCGACCGCCAGGCGGCGGTGGGCCCGGGGGCGGCGCCGCCGTTGCGCCAGCGCGGGGCCGCCTCGCGGGGGCTGCGGCTGGGTTCGCGGCGGCTGCGGCTGCTCTGGAGGCGGCCGGCTCTGCAGCTCGCCCGCTGGCGGCCCGCCGTCGCCGCCGCGAGCAGTCGCGGAGCGACAGCGAGGGGCGGGCTGGCGGCGACAAGTTGGATTTTCGCGACGCCCCCTCCCGCGGCAACGCGATTCAGGCGGTGGCCGACGGGCGCCCAGGCACGCTGTGCGACGAAGCGATTGCCCAGATCGCGCGTGTCGTGGGCCTGCGGGAGGGCGCGGACGGGCAGAGGGTGCGCCCTCGCATCAGGGGCTACCTCCAGGCCGTGGTGTTCGGCCACCACCCGATCCACTCGGTCGGGGAGCGGACGGTGCGCGAGCTCCAGACGCTGGCGGCAGCGATGGGCCTCCTCGAGGACGGGTCGCTGGCGTCGGTCGCGGACACGCTGATGCAGCGGTTCAAGGCGCTGGAGATGGCGCTGAACGACGGCAACTGGTACATCGCCAACGAGCTGGAGGTGGTCGAGGGGATCCGCCCGACGCTCGCCTCCCGCGCGACGAGCAGGAGTCGGCGCGGAGGTCGGCGATGCTGCGGCGGCGGCTGGAGGAGGTCCGCGCCAGGGGGGCAGCCCCCCGCCGCTGACCCGAGGAGGCGGCGACTGCGGAGCCGCCTCGAGCGCCCTCGCCAGGGCGGAGCCGTGGGCGCGGGGGCGACCCCGCTCGCCGCGGTCGGGCCTTCATCGCGACGAGGCGTGGCGGTGCCCGCCCTGGCGGGGCTGCGGCGGCCGCGGGCCAGGCTGCCGGCGGGCCGGAGGGTCCCGCAGCCGCTCGCGAGGCCTCGAGGTCCCCCGCCCGAGCGCCCTCCGACCCCGGGGGGCGGCCTCCCTCGCCGCCCCCCCCGAGGGCGGCCCGCGGGGACAGCCCCCGCCCTGGCGCTGCGGCGGCGCCGGGCCGCGTGGAGCTGCTGGGCGCCCCCGAAGTCCGCGCCTTCCGTCAGGACCAGCCGGCAGCGCAGGTCGGCGGAGAGGCTCCCCAGGGGCGCGGCGGCAGCCCGAAGGGCAGGGGCAAGCGCCGCGGGCGTCGGGCGCCGAGAGGGGGGCTGCCTGGCCGCGGCCGGCCGGCGCCCTGGAAGGGTCGCGGCGAGGGCCGCTAGCACTGGAGGCTCGGGCGCGCTCAGCTGATGATGCACGTGAGGATGCGGGCCCTCTGGGCCCAGCTGGAGCTCGTGCTGACTGCGTGGGCGAGCCATGGCCGCCATCTGACCTGCTGGCAGCAGGCCAGGAGGCGGCGCGCGCGGAGGCAGCGTGGCCAGACGCGGGCGCCCCCCCTGGCGGAGCTCTTCCGCAGGTGGCAGGAGAAGGCTGGGGCGGCTGCCGAGTCCTTCCGCCGCCCGCTGGATGCGGGCCCGATCCTCGCGGAGCTGATGCGAGAGTTCCCAGGGTCGCTCGGGGTCTACGTTGGCAAGTTTATGCACAGCGGGCATCGGCCAACTAGACGGGGGCGGCTGCAGCGTGACCTGCTACCGCTACCCTGTCCCGATCTCGAAGCTTCGGACTTCACCGTGGAGGAGAAGATTGACCCAGGCGACTTGTCCTCGCTGCAGTCTCGTTTGAGGGTGATCGTGATGGCTATGAACTGGGAGGCTGGCTACCGCCACCTGAAGTGGGCGGGCGTCTGCGGGCCGGGGCCGAACGCGGCCCAGCGCTCGGCCCTCCTCGGGATCGCGCGGCGCATCTACTCGAGCGTCGCGCCCGAGCCCGCCGTGGCCGGGGCCCTCGACTGGTCCGTCCCAGAAGCTGAAGGACCGGGCCATCGCGTACGACGGTTCGGAGGTCTCTACGCCGAGCAAGATCACGCTCGAGCAGATCGAGGGCGGCCTGTCGCCTGTGGGGGTAGCCGCCTCCATCGAGGCCGCGGATCTCGCCGCGGGCTTCGTGCGGGCGGCGCTGCTGGGCCCCTCCCTGGTCCTCCTGCCGCCGGCTCAGAGGCGCCCCGCGCCGACCTCGACGCGCGTCTGGGCGACGGCGCAGGAATGGGAGCAGGTGGTGAGTGCCCTGTTTGCTCGCGGGATGGTTGGCCCGATCGACGAGGACGAGATCGCGACCAGAGACGGGGTCCCCCTGATCAACGGGGCCTTCGGCGTGGCGAAGGTGCAGGACGCGCCAGTCCGCTGCGGCGATGGTGAGGAGCGGCCCGTCCT